ACTCCCGCTAGAAGCAACTTGCGCCCGAACTAATTTGGGGTTTATCACTCCTAGCTATGCCCTACCTAACCATCATATTCCTGACCGAAAAGCTTTTTATCACCTCGGGTGGTTCCCTCGTAAGATCAGGCTAGAACTTTCATTTTAAAATAAATAAAAACAAAGTGAATTTAAATTTTCAAAAGAAAACGTCAACTTTTTATGTCTGCATGACATATATTTATTACAGATATGCTATTCACGTCATTATCCTTATTTGTCTTTTTCTCTCTAATAGTTCTGTTCATGAGAATGTAGAGAAGGATTGAATAAACGGATATTCTCATAATATTGTTTGTCAAGCTAACATCATATTATCTTTTACATTTAAATTATTCAATTTTTAATTTAGTTTCTTTTTTTTTTTTGAAAGTAGAATAAAGATAAAGTTTGGGTCTTATGCGGAATTGTTGGTTGATGTTTCTGATTAAAATAATCAATCATAAGTTTGAAGTACAATTATATCAAAATGTATTCTTCAGACATAGCATTGAAAAGAAAAACGAAAGAGATAATGATGTACTAAGAAAAATTCGATCGAACGATTTAAATTGAAAAATTTTTACCATCTGTAGTTGATTTTGTTTGATAACATTAATTAGATCTTTTGATATTTGTTTAGTCTTGGTTTTCTTTGTTTGATTTATTGTATTTCTTGTTGTTGACTTTGACGAACGAAACATTTCAATTTTCATTCCACTTTCAAAACATTTAGCTAACCTACATGAAGAACATACATGACGATTATAAATGTTGACTTGACAGTGACCATCAAAGTGACATTTCAATGCTTCCTTATAGAATGAATAAAATATAATTATTCTATGAAAACAAAAAATAAAACTGACTTGTCCAAGTTCAGCATTTCGTCTGAAAAACATTCTACATGACTCACAGGAAAGAACACCAAAATAGGAGTAACGAGCCGAACCTCCACATACTTTACATTCAGACGGAATTGTCGTTGATTTCTTATTAATATATATTGAACATGATCTTACATTTGTATCGGTCAGTAAAGTTTCCATGAATTTGTGTGTTAACTTGTAAACTCTGTGATCTAATCTGTATTATTCAGAAAAATAATTATGATAATAATAAATAGAAAGTATTTATCAACTTGAAAGCATTTTTACAAGAATATATAGCAAAGTCACAAGCTTCAAAGAAAAGCACGTCAGTTTATTTCGTCTACATACCAATAATTTCTTTTGTTTATCATTAATCTTATTATCATGTGTGTAAAACAGATTTATTTTTTTAACTACACTATTAACTTATATACCGAAAGAAAGTAGAACATCATGTTCTCTTTATCATCCTTCCATAGAAGAATAATAGACAAAAAATTTTTTTGAACCCACATTTTTTCTTTTCTTTCGTTACATTTTAGAAACTTTTTCTAATACGCTTATGAGAAGACAATTCGAAATGAATCAAATGCAAGATCATAACTGCTCATATTGACTCTAATATCAATTAAGTTGTTGAGAAATGTCGATTACCATCGATGTCGTTTTATTAAATTTTTATCATTCTTTCACAGTTTTCTTTGATCTCACCGTTAAATATATTATTAAGGATTGAAACAACAACGTGTTAGTCTAGACTAAAAGCAAACCTATTCTTTCGACACAACTTAAGTACTGCCGATTACATATCATTTTCATGTTAATTCTCAAAAACTCTTTCATTTCTAGTTTGAATCTTTTGTTAATAGGTTACGACAGTTATATCTAATTTGATAATTTGCTTATTTAATCAATCCAGAAAACGACAAACACATTATTATTAAAGTTAACCATTCTTATGTATACAAAATATGTGCTGGCCCTAGTAAAAATATGCTGTGAACAACACTGCTATGGAAAGGTTTTAGCAAATGTAGCTCAGTATAGATATGAATGATTTTTTGTAGCAACTGATTGCATAGAATATAGAAACAGTAAAAGTAGCATGAAGTATTCTTCATTGGAAATCAGTGCTTCTTTTCGTATTATTGATCAATATTACAAACGAATCAGTTTATGCATAATGTTTTATGAACGTGTGTGTGTATGTACTGCAGGTGCCGATATTCTTGTCATCCACATCCTTTATTCAGACTTTTATCAACAAAATTATGAATTTATTCCGTTTAGAATAAATCCGTTTAACTGATGAAGGTCTCTGATAATTCATCATTACTATGTTCTATTGCCAAGTTTTTTTCAAAATGGATTTTACAGAACGATAGAGAAGAAATATTTTTACCTAAATTGTGTAGAAAGTGTTTTAAAATATGAAGACATTAAAAGAAGCATAAGTGATAAAATGCAAGTTTGATTTTTGATACTTATTTACTCAATATGACTTTATATCTTTAAGTGAGAACGATTTTTTGAAAGTGTTTGTTGATCGAATGAAGTTCGATAGAAATCGAAGATGATGCCATCGCCTTCTTTTCGAATTGAAAACCAAACACTGAATAAATGAGTTTTATCTTCAGAGCGATCGACAGATTTTTGAAGATTTGACACAAAGCTGTCGATATGGCCTACCTGTCGAGAAGATCACTGGACTAGACAAAAATTGTTGCCATGGCTGCGAAGTTATTGGAAATCAAATGTTGATGCATCGTCTTGTTATTTGAGAGTAATTTAACGAATTCATTCAATTCTAGCAACTAATGCGTGAAACGAACGTCAATTTAGTGTTCTAAGACTTATAATAATTGACAGAAGAACTTGTTTAGATCCAAAATAATTAATTAAATACTAAATTTTGCGATTGTACTGTTTGTGACGTTACCGATTGAATTTACTGTGTGTCATTATTTATACTCACTGCTTGGTTGCATTGACTGTTCATACATAATGTTTAACCACCTGTCTTTGTCATTTCTTCTGTCATAACAATGTATCATTCAACTGTCTCTCCTTTACTCTCACTCTCTTTTCTTTTTCTACTCCTTCCTGGTTGCGTATATAAACGTGTACTTTGTATGTAAGTGGAACGATGGTACGAGATGAAGAAACTCAATACAGCGTAATTTCATCTGCGCTAGTAACTCTTCTTTCTAAAATCGTTACACTGTTTCTCAAATTGATTGCCAAATGTAAATGCCTTTGTCTGATATCATTAGTATCACCTATTCCTACATTTTTTATGCCTACTTTCTTGTACCTCTACGTTGTATGCCTCATGATATGTTATTTTAGTTATCATGATTACATTTTTTCGATTATGTGAAACAGAACTGATATGATCGAAGACATTGCGTCTATTGTAGCCTTTCTCCTGTGAAACAAATTGTATGATTACTATCTTTCTGTTTCTATTTGCTATTTTGTACAAGAACTTGCTATTATCCTATCTTTATGAAAATAAGTTTAGTAAACAATTTAAATAGCAATGATACACTACTGTAGAGTTATAGAATTAACCTATTACTCTCCATAACGGTTTCAGAAGAGCTACTGATAAAATAACTATAGAAATGGAGTATTGGTTTCTCTAATATGTCGAAGGTATGAGTATATCAGTCGAGTGTTTAGCTTTTTGTGCAGGATGCTCTGTTTATTTCTATGACCGTTGCATCATGAAGAGAAAGAGCCAAATAGGTGAAAACTGTGTAATTATGAAATATCGCATCTATTTTGGACACATTTTTAAAGTCGACATTTGTTTTCCATTTAGTCATAATTTACCTATTGAATGCATTGAACGCATGATAAATAGTATTTCACCTTTTCATGTGGCAAGGTTGATGCAACAACTAGTCACACTAGCCTTCATGGTTCTCTGTCTGCCCAATAATAGTTATATGGTCCATTACCTATCTTATTGTCTATAATTCGCCGAGCCATCGAGCAATTTTCGAAAAATATCCAACTGATTAGTACACTGTTTTCTTAATCCATATCATGCAGCAACTCCACAAGATATATGTTACCTATAAGTGGAGAACCTTTTGTTTTCTGTTTTAAAAAATTATGGACTGTGTACGCTTCGTATTTCGTAGATGAAGCGATGGAATGAAACAGTTCTTTCAGCAAGCGATAGCTCATGAAGTTTGCTAGAAAATTGTTTTTCAACGTTTGTAATTCTATGTGACGATTACTTTTCGGAACCGATTCCCAAATAGCCACTTCAGTGGCCAAGGGAGAGGGGTATAGGATTAATAAACGACGATGGTGTTTGATTGTCTTCTTAATTGGTGAACTGTTTTTTTCTTTTAATATATGCTACCATTGACAATTAGCCATAACTATTTCTGAGTCAGTTTCCCATTCATTTTCTGGTCGATTTCACATGTTATACAAGAACAAAGAAAATTGATGTTATGTTATTGTACAACACTGACTCGAAATTCACATTCAATATTGCTGCATAGAAAATGTCTACTGTTGGTTCCTATATATCAAGACGTCATCTTTTATCAGTAAGATCATTTCAAATAATCAAAATAGATTTGCATACTTTGTTTGAGTCACAATTTATTGGATCAATCAACACTCATATATCAACGTTTAACATAGGGAAATTTAAAAGAAAAACTATTAATTGTCGAATTAATACGTCAAATTTACCATTAATTATTCGTGAATTATTTAAAGATAATATTATTTGTGGTCGTAGTTTACTTGCTCGTAAACATTTTATATCCTCCTTTTGTCAAACATATCAACAAAATGATAAAATTAATTGTTTAATAATAACAACAAAAATGTACTCTCTTCTTTTTTTCTATTTGGTTACACGATATAGTAGCATTACGAATGCTTGTATTTTACTTGACAATTCTACTGATGATAGTGTGGAATTACCTATTGAAGTTTTCAAAGAATGTGAGCAAATATTATCACAGATTAGTCCACATGAATTGGATTCTGTATTTTCAACATTAAACACTTTAATTCATGAATCATCATTAGATAAGCGTACATAACAAATGATTGCAGTTTTATTTGTTGTACGTAGAGATCAAGTAAAGTAAATCCAACTGTACAAGCTGATCTTGATTTAGTTGATGAAAATGAGCAATATACACATATAATTACATTATATGATCAATGTGAACCTGAACTGATGCTTGGTAAGACGAATTTTCCGAATGAGATATTTTACTTTATTCTTTTTTTTAAAGGTATTTCAATATGATAATCAATATGAAGAAAATAAAGCAACAATATTATAAAGAAATTTGAAAAACAATTTTTGCTGAAGAAGGTGATCTAGCAGATAGTAAGTAAACAATGGTATTTATTCAGAACTATTCAATCACAAGTTTTCGAGGAAAAACAGTTTAGCTATTCGCATAAATATGTATATAATTGATTTATCTGTTTCTGGAAGTCAATATCAAATAATTTTTGTATTACTCCATCATCTACTGATAAGGAAATCACCCGAAGTCATCTATCACTTGTAAACTCATGTTTCAAGGCATATAAATAGAATTTCCTGACTTGAATAAATTGAAAATGATTCGAACCAATAAGTCTTTGCAATGGTACGATAATTTTGCTGAAATTTTACCAGAGGATTGAATACTGGCAAAGCAATCGAACAAAGGATTTTTGAATTTGAAATTTTGTTGATAGATAAGACTAATGATTCTAAATTCTTAAAATTCCTTTTTGAAATATTTCAAAAAGGAATTATATGATTTTTTAATAAATCATTGAAGATTATAAGACTCATTTATCAACAAGCTTTTAGATCAGACATCTTTTCTTCAATTTTTCTATTAAAAGTTCGTCCTATGGTCGGAAACTAGCGAAACTTTAGTTACTCTGTAGACAAAGACTAGGAGTTCAAATCTTTTCACAGTTAAATGGGAACGCCAGTGTAGTTAACAGTTTTCATCTACAAAATAATTGTTTGCTTTGAAACCACTCCACCTATATCACAATAAATTTTTGCTAGTCCATCAACATTTTCATATTTATTTTTTACAGCTTTTCGCACGTCTTTACTTATCGTCTTTTTTTCAAATATATCTAAAAGAAGACAATTTCAAGTGCTATCTTTTTTATTAAAAAAAAGTGTTTCAGCCAACTGGATAATAGAGAAAAAATTTAAAACATACTGAGAGAACAATTCTTTATGGGACATCCGTTAGAATCGATGAAATTCATTTAATAGGAAATGGATGGGCTCACCGATATTTCTGTGTGCAACACTTTTGTACTAAACACCTCCGCAAACATATTTCTTTTTTGTTTCATTCATGTAAAATGAATAGCTTTTCCGAACTTCATGAATAACAGTTTGTGGAATGTGTGGTGTGAGTGTGAGAGGAGCTGCATGCGAATCCCATCTCGTACCCACACCCGCAATGAATCTTTTTATCTATTGGCTTCGTTATATATTGCTTATCTTGCTCTATTCTATCTGCTGTTAATTAGATGTAGAGTTAACCTGCTTTTGCAAAAAGATAACTAAACAGAAGCAGCTATTTAGATGGGGTATATATCTTGAAATCGAAAATCTCGATAGTAGCAACGTCAAAAAAGCTCCTGTCAATCACAAATGAAACCACGTTCATTTTCTAGCATTTTTAGGAAAACATGCAGAGATTAAGTTCTATACGATTGTTTGTCTACAATGGAATGACTATACAATCGCTTCCGAGGGATTATATGAGAAAATACTCGAAAGCACTTGATTCTAACACAAAGTAAAACTATTTCAAGAGATTAAAGGCAGCATACTTCAAAGTACTGATAGATTTATAGTTTTAATTACTTTAGAAACTAAAGTACTTTTAAAACGCTGAAGAATTTAAATCAGAAGTGCTTTGCAGCTGCATCTCATCACATAAACTCGTGCAGGCTGTTTGAAAATGGCTTAGCATGGTAGAAATTTTCAGATGAAGTTTTTTTCTCGACATCATTATTTGTTAGCGGAGAACTCTCGAAATCTCTAATATACTTAATATTAGTTTATCTTTACGGCTCGAGTCAACTCATGAAAAAGATAAGAAAGAAGACACCGTTGTGTGTAAGCTTATGTCAGCATTATGCATTTTACTTTGTCATTTACCACCGTGCATCTTCTTCTTGACTTTCCTTGTGCCTTAAATATCATTATTATTGGAGACGCATGCATTTAGTGTTATAGGCTTGAGAAAATGAAGGTAAACTCTTGTTTTCTATTTGACATCCCAATATACAAAAGCTATTTTTTTTTGTGTCAGGTTCTTCTTCTAATTGTTTTAATTGGTGTAGTCGAGAGTGATTTATCATTGGAATGGAATAAATTCAAACGTGGTTATAATAAATGATATACTTCAATTTCTGAAGAAAATGAACGTAGACAAATATTTATTGAAAATGTTAATAGAATGCGTAGTTACCAGGAGAAATATCCTGATGCAACATTTAAAATGGCAATCAGTCACTTGGCTGACTGACACATTCGAGTAATTTCTTAGATACAAATTTAATCAATAAAAGATCGGTCATATTGATAGGAACTTGTATCTACACCAGTTATTTACGAAAAATTTCGTTCAATATCACAAATACGTTTTGCTGAAAGAAAGAGCTTCCCCGTGTCACTTAATTGGCGCACCAAAGGTGTGGTTGCTCCTATCCGTGATCAAGGCATGAGTGCAGAGATTCAAAGTCCCATTGTCAGCGTCGGTAAATATCATTAAAAGACTCATCACATATATCTACTATTTGAGAAATATTTGACAGAGGTCATCGAAACTTTTCATGCCATTCGCACCAACAATTTAACAGAAGGTAGTCCTGAACGAGTACTCGATTGTTGTCCAGAACCAGCTACTGTTTTTGAATGTATAAAGAACATCAGTGGCATTTGCCGCAACAATGACTATGCAACAATTCTTGGAACGTGCAAACCAGATAAATGCAATCCATTTACTACAGTATGTTTATCGAGATTTAGATGTTTTGAATATTTTACATTTAGCTTTCAATGAATGAATTTATTCGAATTTTTTCTCTCATTACACATACAACTTCTGGTTTCTTACAAAATTTGGAATTTTTACAACTTTTAGTTTGATAAAATAAACAGATTGACGCCGAGCGATGAACAGACTATGTTGACTTGGATTCAAAACTCTACTCTTTGGGCTGGAATAGAAGCCACGGGAACTGGTTTTTCAATGTACACAGAAGGTGTATCAATGTATTTGATTACTTCATTGGTATCTATCTCTTTCTCTTTAGGTGTCTATGATGATCCTACATGTTCTCAAACAATGATTGATCATTGGGTAACAAATAGTCGATATTACATTTTAACATCATCCATACATCAATTCATTTTCAGTTTCAAATTGTTGGCTACGGTATCGATATGGGCAAACCTTACTGGTTGTGTAAAAATAGCTGGGGTGAGTTCTAACTTATCATCAAGTCTATGTTCAGTCTTATTATCAATTCTAGGTAATATTTGGGGCAAGCATGGTTATGTTCGTATTGCACGTGGCAAGAATATGTGTGGCATAGCCAATGATGTGGTACAAGTTGCAGATATACAGAAGAGTAGTACCATACGGCTGCGCACTATTGATACAATTCTCATGTTTCCATTAGAAATGTTGACTTATCGAAGTACAACTATCTAATTCTAACTGACTCATTGATCTAGAACAGCAAATGTGTGTTCTTTTCGCTATTTGTTGATTTGTGAAAACTATATATGATGTAGAAAAGTGTGGTATACTGCGAATTGTATTCAAAGTTTCAAAGAAAAATAGATTTTTCTGTATGCACCAAAATGTTAATTGAAACAAAGTAGTCATAAAAGCGTTGACCAACTCTTCGAAGACAACGACAACAAGAGAAAAAATTATAGGTTGCTATCTAGACGTAGGAATGATTCAGTCAAAAACTCTCAAGCATTATTACAAGGAAAAAATAATTAGAAATAGATGAGAAATATGTATAGGAAGGAACTATATAACAAATAAATAAGTAATCGTTTTGAGGGCGTTAGTAGCTCGGAAACTGACTCGTTTCGCTTCTATATAAAACTTATATTCTATAATTGTACAACCACTGCAGTAGAAACCGACCAACATCAGATTTACAGATTTCTGCTGTCTTACACGTAAGTTTCAATTAGATCTCTAATTTATTAATTATGATGCTTTCAACCTGAAATACTCTTCTGACATTTTGAACATGACATTTGTCAATTGATAGTCACTCCTGATTGCTGAACTGAGTTCTTCATAATTTATTTCAGTAAACTGTGCTCTCGTCCCATCACCACACGATTTCTAAAACTCTTGGCGAATCCGATCCTAACAAAATCTCAAAATTAACTTTTTTAATTCAATCTTTTGTGAAATATAATTTTATATTTCTTATGTTTTCGTACAATAAATCATTTTGTATACAGAGGCAGCAAGTATATCGAAAGTTATCTTGTCTTCTTTCATCCAATGATGCTGATATGACTGAATCTTAAACACTCGAATTTTAGTCTACAGCAGTGCTCAAAACAATACGCAAACCTCTACATAACTACATCCAGTTCATGTTTGAGACCGATACACTCATCAAAGTTTGCTTTGGTTTGTCATATACATCTGAATCAGTAATCCCAGAAGATTGTTAGTGGATTGAGTGTGATGGCTTCGGTTAAGGATGTGGGAACGAATAATATCAATGTGTGGGTATGTCTCTTCCAGCAACGTCCGCACTCACACTCACACCTTCTTCCAAAGTGACAGTTACACTGACATCCACGAATTAATAACAGTGGCTCATGCCTACAGAGAGCAGAAAATTCAATCCCAAAAAAGAAAAACAATGTGCATAAAACAGAAACTGATCTATTTTTCTTTCTGTACAAAACGACTTTGTACAATTATGTTTCTCCAAACAAGTAGCTCGCTTGTTATTGGACTATTCTAGAACCAAACAATGCTCAGGCTCTATTCATTAGATTGCCAGAATT